GGCATCTGATTTGAACTTGAATGTTTTTACTCGATAAAAACATAACGGGATGATTTATCGAATTTTAAAAGCAAACTCGACGTCCGCGCTGTATATACGGTCATTTTAAAAAAAAATTCAAGTCTCTAGCTCTTATATCTTCGGAAATCGACGCGTTCAAACATACGGACAGACGGACAGACGGACAGACGGACGGACGGACAGACGGACAGACGGACAGACGGACAGACAGACAGACGGACAGGGCCAAATCGACTCAGCTCGTCGCCCTGATCAAGAATATATATACTTTGTGGGGTCTGCCACGCCTCCTTCTGCCTGTTACATACATTTCAACAAAACCATTATACTCTGATTTCCCATTGAAAATGGGTTCAGGGTATAAAAAGGCATCAATATAATGTTATAAAAATTAGTTACATAAATCTACAATGTTATATATCGAGCAAAAATATGCATATATATAGGGGACCCCTAAAGATGAATACTTTTGTGACTGACTATAGGTCTCGTTATGCAATCAAAATAAGCATCAATATAATTTCCAATATCTGACGAATGCAAATTATTTTTATAAAAATATATATTGCAGTAAATGTAATATATAGCTCTAAATTTCTTTACTCAATCATAGCTAAATTCACTAGAAATATACATATATGTGCATAGAGACAGTCATCCATATAATTTCTAATTTTATGCATATCACAATCACAATCATTTAGTTATTTTTGTCGGCACTTCAGATGGCAAGCCAAAACAAAGCAAGAATACATATGTATAAAAATACATATATATRTATATATGTATATGAAAAATAAAAAAGAAATTCAATTACTTGCAAACGCCTTTTCCAGTTCAGTCAACGATTAAATACAATGGCCATCGATAACACGAGCAATGAAGATGATTGAGGCAGCATTAAGTGCGGCAGTCGCCAGACATTTATCAAGCAGCCGTCGAGGAGCTGCCGCGCCGCTGTGCTCATTGTCAAGGACATGGCCAAGTGTTAAGCACAACATTGGGAAAAGGAAAAGGAAACGGGAGAAAAGAAGAGAAGAGACATGAAAAGAAAAGATGTCGAAGCAGAAGGAGTGACTGCTGAAAGAAATGGACGCCCACATATTTTGGACTCAGACTCAATGGAGAGCGGCAGCTGTTGGAATGATGCGAGCCGCTGATGCCGGGGTCTGGTCAATGAACCGTGACTCTGCCTCTACCTCTCTCTCTCTCTCTCTCTCTCGGCCTCTGTCTGGCTCTGTCCTGGTCAAGCTGTGCCTGTGCCTGACACATATTACAGCCGCTGGCGGCACAAAAAGCACACAGCTCGGACTTGGATGCGGATTCGGATTCAGATTCGAATTTGAAGCTAAAGCTGAAGATGAAATCAAAAACACAAAGTCCCAGGCGTGCTGTCAATGTCACGAGCTGGGCGTGGGTGTCGGAGGATTTCGGGGATTAAAGCTGTGGGGACGAGTGGCAGCCAAATCGTTGCCACTGACGTGCGAGTTTATTATGTTTTCTCCTTCTCCTTCTCTCTCTCTCTCTCCATCGTCTTCTTCTTGTTCTCATCGCTCTTTGGCCAAACAAAAAAAGGCTTCGCTCTCGAGTGCTATATAAGGCCGACAGTGGTCTGGCCCAGTAATCAATTATTAAGTCCGTAGCTGATCGAGAATGTTGCGTGCCCCAAAGCGAATCGAAATGTGCCTGCAGCAGCAGCTGTTGCTGTTGCTATCGCTGTTGCTGCTGCTGCTGGGAGTCAACCTGTGCGCCGGCGAGACGCGCTGGACAGTTCCACCCAGACGCGGCAGCACCACAGCTATGCCAGCAGTTGACCGACATCAGCATGTGCACCACTGGCCGCCGCTGGTTGCCCCACAGCGGGAACCCAAGCCGCAGCCCGCGACAGCCATCGACGGCCCGATTGAGAGCTTCGATCAACGCGCTCTGAGTGGCGAGCACGAGTACAGGTTATTGAGTTCGCCCCAGTCTCGGTCCATTTAATTGATATACTCCATATACTCCCGCCAGATATCGGCTGAGCAACGGCGACACGCGCTACGAGCGCACCTATTGGCTGCCCCTGGGCTCGGGCCGCACGGTGCTGGCGCGTCGGGGCTACTACTCGGTGCCGCTGCCCAATGCCCAATACTCGACCGTCTTCTACAGCGCCGATGATCGGGGCTACCATGTGGATATGCGTAAGTAATGCGAGTTACTGTGACCCTCCCCCTGACTGAGTGGGGCGGAGGGGGAGGGTCCTCGTGTGCAACCGAGTGTAAAATTTGATGCCCAAAACGCAGACACATTATCCGGCGAGCAGCCGCTGCTGCCGCGCAGCCTCGACGTGCCCCATGATGTGGCAGGCGTGCAGTCAACGCCAGCAGCTAAGCGAAATTCAATAAGCGTGCCAGAGCGTAACGATGAGCAGCTCGAGCAGCATCCAGATGCTCCAGCCATGGCCAGCAGCAGCAGCAACAGTGGCACAACCAACGGTCAAACAGTGGCTAATGTCCGTCTGCCGGCAGTGGTAAGTGGCTGCCACGGTGGTTCAAGCACTGTGTCGCTTCCTTGGCTGTGAGCAAAAAATGAAAATGCTACAATTGCAGAGCCAAAGTCAGAGTCGGAGCCAAAACCGAACGAAGCCATCAACTATGGCCACACTTGAGGACATTTTTGCAGCTAAAGTTGGCACAGCATCAGTTGATGATGATGATGATGATGATATCGATGATGATGATGAAGGCCATAGTGATGATGCTGTCGCAGCCAGTAACATCAATGCAAACTGAATGCTAGCTGAAAACGAGGGCGTAAATGTGAGCGCAAAGAGGATGAGCTCGAGCCGGAGGAGAATGAGACGAAGGAAACGGATGAGGATGAGGATAAGAATGGAAGAATGGGTGAGTTTGTCGTCAGCATGGCATGGCATGGCATGGTAAAGTGACATCAAATAGCTGCACGTGTGCAGCTGGATCTGCTCCAGTGGCACAGTTGCCGCAGTTGCCACAGAGTCATGGACTTAAGGGGCTTTTCGCTTTGCAGCGCTCAAGCGCCAGGCTTCGGTTGCGCCAAATCAAATTGTAACAATTGCCATTGAATGCGGCTCTCCCTGCTAGAGCCGCAGCTGACCTGGCTCCCGTTTCACAATCATTTTTGGCTGTGCTGTGCTCCGTAACACAATTTACCAGACCAAAACAGATCGAAAGACATCGAGACAGCAACTCAGGCTCCAAATACAACAGCAACAAATATAAGACACCAACTCAACAACGATTCACATCATCAATTGCTCACACTACGCCCGCATCAGCATCACCATCAGCATCAGCATAAGCATCAGCATTAGTATTGGCATCAGCTTCGACTCAGACTTCAAATTCGATTTGAGCAAGCAAATATAATAAAAATTATTTCAAATATTTCCATAAAAACGCCTACATGTTGCCCATGCACTTTCAATATGTGTTTTGTATCGTTTTCCTTTCTCTGTTCTCTCTCATTTTGTTTGGCAACTTTTCAATTCAATTAATCAAAAAACCATAAATTGCTTTTGCCAGCACCCCAAAAAATTTCTTATGTGATATTAGGGAAGAGGCCTAAATTTGTAGCAGACGGAAACTACTGCTTGTAGAGAGTGGCTAGGGTGGGTGGCTAGAGAGGGAAAGTAGAGAGGGACTAGCGAGAGGCTAGACAAGAAGGAGCAGGAGAAGGCTTAAGAAAAAATGAGATATGGATTATAGAGGGATTAGAGAGAGACTGGGCAGAGAATAGAGAGGGCCTGAAAAGAAGCCATAGGAAAGTGACAGATTGACTAGAAGAAGCTAGAGAGAGAATAGAAATGTTCTATAGAGAGACTGGAGAGAGACTACAAAGACTAGAGAGACTTGACAAACTAGACAGACCGTGGAAATAAGACTAGGGAGGGACTGAGGGGGTTGAAGAGACAAGCAGGAGAAACACTAGAGAGAGAGCAGAGACACAAGGGAAAGACCAGAGAAAGACTAGAAAGAGCCCAGGGGGAGAGACCAGAGAAAGAGCACAGAAATATCACAGACCCGAAGCAAAGACCAGAGAGAGACCAAGGAAAGACTAAAAAGTGACCATAGAGAGAGAGAGAGAGAGAGAGAGAGAGAGAGAGAGAGAGAGACCAGAAAAAGAGAAACCAGAGGAAGACCATAGAGGGAGATTAGAGAAAATTTGAAAGGTGAATAAAGACAAATTACAGAGAGACTACAGAGAGGCTACGGAGAGACTAGAATGGGACTAAATAAAGACTAGAGAGGAGCTGAAGATAGACTATAGAGAATGTCTAGAGAGAGTCAGGAGAGATACTAGAATAGTATTACAGAAAGAGTAAAGACTAGTAATAGGCCAAAGAGAGACTAGAGCGAATCAAAAACTTGATAGACTACAGGGACTATCGAGTCTAATGATGTGGCGAGGCTCTAAAAAGGTTAGAGAGGCTGCAAAGCCTAGAGAGATTAGAGAGGGAAAACAGTGACTAGGCATTAAACACTAGTCTGGAGACTTGAGTAGATACTGTCTGCTGTCTATGATTCCATCATTGAGGTATCTGAGCAAGATGCCTTCAGGCGAAAATTCCAGGCAAGCTGTTAAATGAGTGTAAATAGTTGAATAGCTTCAAATGAATTTGGTCGAGTTGCCTGACAGACCTACGACAGGTGGCTGTCAAGTTGGCATCAAGTTCATTGACTTTTACCCTTTTATAATAATATTATTACAGCAAATTGAGTGCATGGTTCCGTTATGTAAACAGTATAATCAAATAATAATAACAGCACAAATTAGATGAGCAGTCAGTTCGGTAGGAAAACAAATTCACAAATTCATTTCACATAAATTGGGTCGTTCGTGTTGACAAAATCTGCCATTGCATTTCATGACTATATATTATATATATATAAGT